TTGCTTAAAGGATGCAAGTATAATGTAATTACAATGCATCCTTAAGAAAGCATTAATGAATGTGTGTGACTCCATATTTTTTGCATACTATAACATGAATATACATTTTACATGTTTATGTGAAAGAAGTTTGGTGGATCAGTTGTAGTTGCAATAAGCATTGGTGGAAAGAGATGGTAGTTTGAATATTTAGTAATTGTTAATGTGATGAGAAAATCTAAACCCTTACATGTACATCTATGTAATATAAAATGCAGAAGAACAACAAGTGTACCTGTAAGATGAAGTTGTTCTAGGGAGAAAAGTAGATGCATGACTATTAGGTATAAGATGCATTAGTTAAAGCTAATAGATGCAAGTTTTTGAATTAATTTTAGTTTTTTTGTGATGAAAGTTTTAATGAATTTTACTTATGTTGAAGTGCCTGGTCTTTCATGAAGTACATTTGTAAGGTACATGATGCATGATTGTATGATAGCAGATGCATTTACAACCAAAATATGCACTTGTGTTAGTGATGATGATATATGCATAAAGATTGCTTAAAAGATGCAAGTATAATGTAATTGCAATGCATCCTTATGAAAGCATTAAAGAATGTGTGTGAGTCTATTTGTTTGCATAGTGTAACATGAATGTATATTTTACATGTTTCTGTGAAAGAAATTTATTGCAGCAATTGTAGTTGCAATAAGCATTGATGGAAATAAACGGTAGTTTGAATATTTAGTAATTGTTAATGTGATGAGAAAAGCTAAGCCCTGACATATACATTTATGTAATAGAAAATGTAGAAGAGAAACATGTGTTTGGAGGAAAAAGAAAACAAGAAGGTGCATCAAATAGTAAGACGCAACAGAACAAAAAGAAAAAAGAGAAGAGGAAAACGTCAAAAGGTTACACACTTGCACTATTCTACATTTAAGATGCATTTGATATTCTGTAAATGTAATTTGAAATGGTGTCATTAAAAGTGGAGCAGATGGGTCTTTGGTGAAATAGGTCTGAGGCAGGATGCATATGCAGCGTGATGAAGTGTCGAGACCTGAAGTGAGGAGCAAAGGCATGAAGTTTTATGTGTTATGCAGACTTAACAGGGCTTTACATCCAATCTTAATAGATTCTCGTTTCCTACTTGTGGAGCAATCTTCAGAACCAACAACTTCAATCGTATTAGATACGTGTTTCCTATTTTTCGAGCAATCTTCAGAACCAGCAACTTCGATACTATTAGATACTTGTTTTCTATTTTTCGAGCAATCTTCAGAACCAACAACTTTGGTATCTAAAACAGGACATGCATTATTCTTAAAATCAGCTCTATTACATATAAAATACTTCATCACTATGTGATCAACTCTGGCCCTTCTTTGATGTATGATGACGAATAGCAAACCCCACTGCAGCCGCATATTCCTTGTGAAAACTAAAATCAGCATCTAGATTAGGAAATATCATGCCAGCAACTTTTTTTTTTCGGGTGAACATTCTAGAATCCAATACTTTGAACCCCTAGGAGAAATTTGAAGACCACAATTCGCATCTATATAAACAATAAACGATCTCTAGTATTAAACAAAAACGAAAACTAATATTAAACAACAATAAACATATAATTTCAATTAATGCATCATACAACATAAACAGATGCATAATACATATTTCACCTTGCAGATACAACAGAAATAGATACATATACTGAATTGATGGTGTAGGTGCAGCAGGACAGTACAGAAGATGCATTGATGCTATGTAAAAGTGCAGTCGGATTGCAAGTAGGTTGTTTTGAAATTAATTATTTATATGATTATTGAATGCAAACTAGTTGTTAAATATTTTATTTAATACATGAATTCATTTTATGTGAGGCGATATATAGCTTAATGTTTATTTGTTATTGGACACATACATGAACATGGATTGGATGCAGTAGCAACTGTGAAATTGAGGAAGAGGATTGCAAGACATGCAACAGTGAAATCACCCTACTTAACTAGGGTTATTCATCCTATTGAAAGTAATTATGAAATTAATTCATGAGAAGAAACATGATAACATTCATTAACAAGCCTACTATGTGAAGTGATGTAATGTTATCAAAAGCAATTACGAAAATCATTTGTGAGAATAAAAAGGATAACATCCGCCTCTAGTCCGAATCAATTAAAATAAAAATGCACAAGCATGACATAACAGCAAAGCACACATCAACTTCTGAAGTTTTTTTTGGGTATGAAAACATAGTTCATCAAGATATATGAATACCTGATTCCATGGCGCAGAATGATAATGATGGAAGATGATTAAAGCAACAAGTAATAATCTCTACCAGAAAGAAAAGCACAAAGATGAATACCAGAGCGATCAGAAAATCGGAATGAAAAAAAAACGGGAAGTAGGCAGTTGAGAATGGAAAGTAACGAACGTGATTTTTGTGCCTTTATAAAATTTAAGTGATTAACCAAATCATCCTCAATCCCAATTAGTTGGCTGTGAGAAATCAAAATAGAAACGGACGGTAATCTTAATCAAATGAATGGATAGGATTAGTTTGTAGGTTAGTAAGTTAAGCCTAGTTTGTATTTAATCCCTAATATATATATGCAGGGAAGAGATCAAATAAAAAGAGGTTCTCCCGTGCAAAGTGCGAACGATTGCACTTTTTCCTTACCGCGTTTCACTTTTGCGTGTTTCTGTTGCACTTTTTCGCAGTGGCAAAAAACTTCGTTTTAATTACGAAATCGCCACCGCATTTTTTTATCAAATTTAGTTCACTTTTGGCTCATTTTGAGCGATTAGATCTGGAAATGAATGCACGAGATTAATTCTCACTTTGCATGGGAAGACGTCTTTGTATTTGAACCCTCCCCAATATATATATATATATAGAGAGAGAGAGAGAGATTTTGGATCAAATAAGAACAAGCCTTAATGTGAGAAATGAGAACAAATCACCACCATTCAAAACAAATAGGACACTACGATGATCTGAACCAATGTCAAGGGCATTTTGGTATAGTACTCCTTGGCACTTTTTTGTAACCGTTGCTAGAGATATTTCGTTTCCCACTTTAGCAATGCAATCATTAAATGCTATATCCTCTTAAATATTATATTATATTTTTCACCTTAATTTACTTCTGCATATATAGAAATTTATGCACCTTACAAGGAAAATATTGTTAGTGCGTAAAAAACAAAAGAAACAAAATATCATTCATTCTTATTTATTTTTTGTGCATTAAATATTAGGTCATGTGTATTACATTCAACTTCATTTCTTGTAAATCAAATTATGGTTATTAACTTATGAAAAAAGTTAAGATGTATTTTCTCATGTGTGGTACATACCCGTTCTTGTGCTAAGATGTAGGTTTATGTGCATTAAATAATGCTAATTGTGCGTGGGATAACTATTCATGTGCTTTAAATAACATTAAACATAATGTGAAGCACTTTTAAAATTTTGAAAAATCTCATGCATGTTGTGCATTTTATCATGTTCTTATGAGTTCGTACTAAAAACGTGGGCATTAAAAATAATAATTTATTTCTGTGTTTCAGATACTTGTTATGGTGCTTTATATGACATCTATATGTAAAATACTTCTTCACATGCATTAGAGATTAATGGTTCTGCATTAGATACCCGTTCTTGTATGTTATATAGATGTTGTGATTTATTTTCATATATTTGTTGTGTATTTTATAACTTTTTCATGTGTATTAGATATTAGTGGTTGTGCATTTGATACTATTACATGTGCTCCTCTTGCAACGAACTTATATTCAGTCTTTCAATGCTCTTTTCGTACAATTTATTTCATTTATTTTTCTTTCCAAGTTTAAGCCACTTTATTTAATAAGTGTTGCAAAGTGTTCCTTAATTTTAGGAAACTTTGAGCAAGTGGGATCCTAGGAACTGTAGCATTAATTGGTGGTCATTAAAAAAATAAACAATTACAATCATGCCCTTATTAATATTAGGCATGTTTCACCTATTACATTTGGTCATGATGTTGTGCAAACATCTGTACCAGAATTAGTTGTACGACACATCTTTCATCCGTTTATTAATTAAGATGGATGATTAAGATTTGTTCTCATTTCTCACAATAAGACTTGTTTTTATTAGAACCACTCCCTATATATATATATATATATATATATATATATATATATATATATATATATATATATATATAAAATAGGGGATGGTTCAAATACAAAGAGGTCTTCCCATGCAAAGTGAGAATTAATCTCGTGCATTCATTTTCAGATCTAATGCCTCAAAATGAGCCAAAAGTGAACTAAATTTGATAAAAAACGCGGTGGCAATTTTTTAATTAAAACGAAGTTTTTTGCCATCGCGAAAAAGTGCAACAGAAACACGCAAAAGTGCAACGCGGTGAGGAAAAAGTGCAACCATTCGCACTTTACACGGGAGAACCTCTTTTTATTTGATCTCTTCCCATAATATATATATATATATATATATATATATATATATATATATATATATATATATATAAATATAAATTATATATATGATGACACCGCACCCCGATGTGCTTAAATTTTGAATTCAGTATATATTTGAATTTCCAAGCAAATTAAATTGTGTATCAGAATTATTTATTTAATTAATGTGTGATTAATTAAATTATTTATTGGGTCCATTATATTGACTATTCAGAATGGACAACCAAATAATTTGTTGGGTCATCACGATAATTATAGAAGCCCAATAAAATGCCAACAGAGGTTGGGGAAAATGTTTGGGCGGCCCGAGTGCTATTTTGATCCAACCTGCCAAAAATAGCAGGAATAATTGGGAGGGACTTCCTACACCCACTTGAGGTATTCTACACACTAATTAGACTCAAATAATAAGGGAAGGGACCACACAAGGTGGCTTGTGCGGATGATTGAGGGGAGAAGACTCCAAGAGACAAAACCCACACCCCATGTCTCTATCCCACACTTGATAGGAGTTGATTGAATAGAGCACTCCCCCGCCTTTCTCTTGCATTATTTGAACCAACCAAAGGAGGAAGGAGCTCCAGGAAATTCTCTCAACTAATCCATACTGTGGAGGGAGCAACAAGGAAGAGAATCCAAGAAGAAAAGAGTTAGGATTGAGGTAAGAACTCAATTAGTGTTCTTTAACTAGTTTTGTTGCGTATGAGTTTTAAGAAATCATATGGTGGATTAAACATGATGTTCTACACATTTAAAAGTGTAGAATATTGATATAAAGTGGTGGTATTTAACTTAGAAGAGTTGTGGAATCGATAGGAGTCGAAACCTCCAGAAAACCGCCATTTTTGGGGACTGTTTTCGAGCTGCAGGCACGAAAGCCGCCCACCTTTCACGAAAGCCGCTCGGCTTTTAGCTGCTGTCCAGATTTTCCACTTTCAATCGGCCTAGAATGGGGATTGATCAAGGGGTGTATCAATGGCAACTATCGTAGCACATCACAAAGTGAGGATGACGGACTATATTACTTATAATTAGTGAGTTAATTTCATAAGATTACCTAAGGTAATTAAATGTGATTTCCATGGATTATTAATGATTAATAATGCCTAAATGAAAATACTATTGATATGAGTAAATGAAGCATGATATACAAATTTAGAAGAAATTGTGTATGATTATGTGTTATGAAAATGATGGCATGATAATGGAATTAACTATGAAATCAGACTTGGAAATCGCCCAAATAGTTTTACGCAATGGGTTCTTCGTTTTGTGGATGGAATGGAAAACAACATTGTCTGAAATTAATTGCATGGAAAACAACATTGTCTGAAATCACCCAAATAGTTTTACGCAATGGGTTCTTCATTTCAGATTTTGTAATTTATTAGTGTGGTAAGTTAATTTTGTAAATTTGTACTCCATGAAAAACTGTAAAGAGCCATTTCTTAAGCTCTCAATTGAGAAAGCTATAATGCCCAGGTTGGACAATCCTCTTAAAATGCCCATTCAAGTTGCACAATTTCATGAATTTTTATTGGAATTCTATTTCTTCTAAACTTTGTCATTTATCTCATACTACTTCCACATTCCCATATATACACACTCTCTTGACAAATTGGTGACATATTATAGGGATATAAGGTTCAAGGAATGACATATACTCGTGATATTGACAAAGTTGATGCAAAGCTAGATCTCTTTTCAACATATGTCATATCAAATGCTGAAGTCAAGGCAATCAAGTCTAATTTGGTTTTCCCAGACAACAGATATAAATTCTTTTGGACTCTTAAGGACACAACCCAGATTCAAAGAGTCCAACCTGGGGAAGAGCTGAACACCGAGAGACAGCTACAACTTCTGCCAACAAAGTTACCAAACATCCATAAGTATGTGAATACGGAACAAAGGATAAGTAAGTATATTTTTAACTAAAAACTAACACATACAATGCTCATACATACATACAAACACTAAGTTAAGAAGTAGAACCCTGAGCCATAAATCCGTAATACACTAAGTTAGGAATGTTATGGTTTTTGAAGTGGACCTCTGGTGTATTAGACTTTATATACTTATATGAGATATACGATTTAGTGTACACAATTTAGCATACAAAGTGATCGGGGCGGTTTCGGGGTGGATAACGGGGCGGATTAGTATAGAACCATAACCGCACCATTATCCATTTTAAAAAATCGGGTATTCCCCGCCCCATACCCGTTCCCCAGTCAAACCGGTTTTCCTCAGTTTGACCAAATCGGTTTGGTGCGGGTATCCAACGGGGCGGTCGAAATTGCCATCTCTAGATTAAAAAACTCCTTTATCATTGCGTTGGAGGTTACCCGTATCTACAGAATGTCTACCACGTTCCATCTACACATAATAAATATAAGTAGATATAATATATGTATTTATAAGTAGATATTAAGTAGATAATAAATATAAGTAGATATAATATATGTATTTATAAGTAGATAATAAATACATAATATCTATTTATAAATACATAAATACATAAATTATAAGTAGATATTAAGTAGATAATAAATATAAGTAGATATAATATATGTATTTATAAGTAGATAGTAAATACATAATATCTATTTATAATATATGTATTTATAAGTAGATAATAAATATATAATACATATATTATATCTACTTATTTTTATTATCTACTTAATATCTATTTATAAATACATATATTATATCTACTTATATTTATTATATGTAGATGGAACGTGGTAGACATTCTGTAGATACGGGTAACCTCCAACGCAAAGGTAAAGGACATATTGAGTCTTCTTCTCAAAGTTGAAATGATTTTGACACAAATTATGACCGAAGAGATGCGTTTTACGAGAAAACACCTAAAGAGGTACAGGCCATCAGCAAGCCCCCCGACAAGGAAACACCCGACGAGGACGGAAATGATAAAAAGGTCAATCTCTTCTTATGAAAAACAATTACACATAATGGAAGGAAAGACAAGTATAATGTGGTGGGCAACTTGCTACCATTGAAACAAGAAAAATTGTTTAAGAATTTCGCATGGATACGAAGACGCGACTAGGCATTTGCAGGCAAACCACCCCGAGGAGCATGCAAAATTAAAAGCCAAAGGGATTCGAAGTATTTTTTCCCGCTTTTTTAAAATAGGCTATTAACTATATTATCAATTGTACTTCATATTTCAATATATTTCATATTTTAATTTATTCCCGATTGAATATTATTTATTAGAAAATGTATTTCATGTTTTAATTTTTACTCAATTCTCAATTGTACTTCTAACCGGGCTAAACTTGCAAGTTTACAAGTGCCGATATAGTAATAAATTCCGGTAAAATACCGGGTCGAATCCACAAGGAAACATTGTTTAATTTAGTCTGAGAGTAGATGACTTTAAATAAACAAATGAGTAAAGAATAGGGATTTTGAATTGTGTTTTATATTTTTGGCTTTTCACTTTTTGTTTAAAAGATAATCGTTAACTAAATTTGGGTTTAAGATGAATAAATAACAACAACTAAGGCTTCGGGAATCACTTAAATGCTTTAATAGGGTTGAATATTAGTTCTTTGCCAATAATTATGAATACGATGTCGCTAATATATTCTCAACTCCGGTTAAGGCAGCGAGAGCGTGGTTTTCGTTACGTGTAAGTCCCTTTACGACTTACATTCATCTACCGAAAACCGTTGAATATCAAGACATCACACCCGTATCATATAAGACCGGATATATTTCTATTCTCGGCACTTTCGAAGTATTTTTTCCCGCTTTTTTAAAATAGGCTATTAACTATATTATCAATTGTACTTCATATTTCAATATATTTCATATTTTAATTTATTCCCGATTGAATATTATTTATTAGAAAATGTATTTCATGTTTTAATTTTTTCTCAATTCTCAATTGTACTTCATATTTCAAATAAATATAGTTTAAAACTTTTTTATATCTAGCAAAACTTGAATTAATTTGTAAACAACATAAAAAAAGTCCGGACCAATCCAAAGCCGACCCGAACCCTGGCCGCGTAGACCGGCCCGACTCAGACTCGGTAGCTATCTGGGCCGGTTCCGCGACTAAGCTAACCCCCCCAAGGCACAACCAAAGGCCCGGCCCGGACCGTGCCCGATTCATCTCTAGTTGTATTGATTGATTTTGCTGATTTATGAACAAATTATTATTATTTTTTTTAGAAAAAAGAGCTTGATTATTATCGAGATAAAAAGGGGAAATACAACAAAAGATTAGGGCATAAGCCTGACCCAAAACAGAGAAGAGAAAAAATAAAATATAAAATACAATAAGCCCAGGTGCCCAGGTGATAGAACCAAAGATCGCAAACAATCAAAAACGGAAAGAGGGAAGCTCCATCTCGTCTGCGGTCAAGGCACGTCTAATTTCAGATGGAAGAGCCCATTTATTGGTGAATAATTTGAATGGATTGTCCGAGATCGTCCAAGAGGCAAGAAGGTGGGCAGGCTCAATACCTTGTGTGTAAACGTGCGAGAACGTAACGTTGAGATTGAGTACCAATAGCCTGAGTTCCTGAATTGCTGATCGATTGCTAGAATCAACTGAGCCGTGCTTGATTTGGGATATGGCTAGAAGGGAGTCGGACTCAGTGATGAACAAATTATATTTAAAATATTTTTATTAATAAATAAAATAAAGAAAAAAATATAGTTTAAAAATATTTTTAAATAAAACACGTAACTTAACTTTATTTTTTCTTATTATTACACAATTCGACGTGACAAATCAAAAGTTACGTGTTTGATTAATAGGTTGACCAATAAACTTGATAAGCTGAAAATAAGAGTTACCAAACGGACTCTTTATGTACAATCTTTTTTTCTAACAATACATTCTGTAAGGTATACTACGTATATTTTGTAACACTTGAGATTTAATTTAAACGGATTAATAGTACTACTCATACCAACAGAGGTGCATCTCCTTTTAAGGGAGCTCATCACCCAAGAACTCCAAAGTTAAGCGTGCTTGCACGGGAGTAGTCTTGGGATGGGTGACCCCCTGGGAAGCTACTCATACCTAGAGGTCTGGAGTAACTACCTCGTGGCCTACGGGGCCGGGGTGTTACATATTTATACTTCCATAATCATTTATAGTGAACTAACCACACATATGCACCATCTCTGTTATGTTAAAAGAAGAGCTACACGTTTTTTCGATAACCAACCATTTGGGAATAACTTTTGCACAGATGAAAAACGTATAGTAATCAAAAATAACTTCGCATGGGTACCTGGAAGAGACCATTTTTTATAAATATAAGAACAACAAAAATTATAAGGGATACTTCCCAACCAGTCTCCACCAAACAGAAACTCGATACCAATTCTCGTTATCATGGGTCATGGCCTCATGGCCCTCATGGGTAAGGAGGATTTGTGTTTTTGGAATAACTAGTATTCCACCCGTGCAACGGATGTAAAATACTTATATTATAAATGTTAAACTATAAATAATATAAAAGATCATACTACGCATTGTTTTTTTATCGCACGAATAAGAGTAATCATTAATAAATAAATAAATAAATAAATAAATAAATAAATAAATAAATAAATAAATAAATAAATAAATAAATAAATAAATAAATAAATAGATAAATAAATAAATAAATAAATAAATAAATAAATAAATAAGTAAATAAATAAATAAATAAATAAATAAATACTCCGTAATACATAGTAACAAATATTAGAAATTTAAAAACACCCAATTTTCAAATTATTAGAAACATTCTTGTAGACAACATCTTTTGCACTTTTCCTTATATTTCCCTCGTCGCATATCAAGAATTTCAAGCCAGCCCGACTTGCCACCCTCGCAAATGCAACATATAACATAACATATACCCAGACATACTATAACAACAAACAACCCTGGCACATGTTTTTTTAACTCACAAGATGTAAAATAGAAATTAAAGAGTGGCACAAACCTTATGTGAACTTCAAATTACATTATCAAACTTACAATGTCAATAATCATGTGATAAGTATATATATATATAAATCTTTCAACAAAAAATAGCAATCATGTGATAAGTGTAAAGTTTAGGCCTTCCCTTGCTAATTCTTCCAAGCTTAGAATAGAAGGCCGATCCCTTGCCACTTTGGAAACAGCCTTTTCTCTTCAGGAGTCCCACACTGCAAGAATGCACCCACAACTTTCCCGTTTTGGATCCAATGCTGTCCAAACTTGTGGCTTGTAGATTTTGGGTCATTGTCCCCGAATAGTACTGTTTCACCCACATTGTCACCATAGAACTTCCATGACAAATCAAACGCGCGGGAACAAAAGTAGGGAAGGTAGCCATATGCATCTATGTTGGTCCCTTGTTGGCTTGCATATATTGCTTTTACAGCTTGTTCTGCAGATTTGCGAGCATGATCAACATGTTCAACTCTTCAAAGTTCATTGTATACCTTCAAAGGGAATGTGGCAACTGTTAGGAAATTGTTGTAACGTACCTCGAAAGTACGGCAGCGGAAGTTTAAAATTTTCCCAAACAGATCTTCCCTGATTATGACAGAACAACGAATATAACAATAATAACAGATCTGAGTTAGAACTTACAGATCTTCCAGCCTAGCGGTGATAATCCTTGACCTTTGGTATCCACGTGATTTCTCCTTTCCGAAAGAACGGTTAGATCTCCCTAAGAGAAAGGCTAGGAAATCTCTTCGCAGGGAAATAAACAGGTAATACTGAATCTGAAAAATGGTCTATAAATTATGAAGGAGGAGGGTGTATTTATACTAGTTCTAAACTAGTTTCCCAATCACAATGAAAGTGTTCTTCATTAATGAGTTCTAATCCTAACAGGACCAATACTCCTTATTAATGATTCAATTAATTAAACAAAACAAAAAATAACCAACAATAAGAGTAAAGTGGGCTTGCACGCCACTTTTACTCATGATCATTATTTATTTTTATTTTCTCTTTTCTTTTAATCCTAAATTATAAAGAAAAGCACCAACTTTATTTAATTAAAAATACATCTTAATTAAGTACAATAAATCCAATTTATTCCACTTCATTAATTCTATCAAATAGAACTCTCCTTCAACTTCATGAATTAAATATGTTTAATCTAATTAATATTTAATCCATTTTCAGTATTACTAATTAAATATTATTTAATCCAATTAATAATATTTAATTCCTTCTAACAATTCAATCGGAAGGTATAATCACTTGTTGTGTGACCCATAGGGCCTTATATATTAAGCACTAATCAAATTAAGGTCTTAGTAGAATCCCTAGACGATTTACCAGACAATCTTAATATATAAGGACGTTTGCGAGGACTATTCAAACTCCCTTTAATATAGAGCTCATAGTGATACGGTCCTTTCATTCAGCGAACATTCAACTAAGTCTAGAACATGATATTGTGTCTATCCCAATAACTCAGTCTCTGTCTCTCAATCTTTCTAGATGATCCTTAACGATCATATTCGATATCCAAAACGAATATATCTTTGCATTGGCCAATGACTTTATGATCCATCTAGATATGAGAAGTAGAATGCTCTCTCTTAATCTATTATGAGGAATGAATCCTTTCTTGGCTCAACTACTACTCCATGTGCTTCGTGATGCACCCAACACATGCCGTATCTACCCCGATTGGAGTGCAAGCGTTGGTCATGGTCAAAGTACGTCACTCCGCACATGTAGTACGTATTGACCTCAAGTCGGAGGACTATTACACTACTCTATACGCCGATAATCCCATAGACACATGAATAGAACTTATCAAATGGTTTCTCGGTGGGTATGCCAATATTCTCTAAAATATCTATGTGACCATCATGAATTACATGAACTCATAGTTGTGAGATCAACTATACTTTCTAAAAGTATGATGCAGCTCACATACCAATCTTATCGCATATCATCAATATCCCATTCTTGATGATCATTGATTGGGGCTATTTTAGGACTTTATGTTATATCATATAAGCTCTCACTTACTTATTGACAACATAAGTCCAAGGGAACACAATTATGAATAAGATATTGACAATCGAAATACTTAATCATGAATGTGTAATACCGTATATATCAAATATATAAAACTGAATGTGATCAAGTACATATATCTCTAAAAGGTGATTGTCGCTAGGACATATATACTAACAATCTCCCACTTGGCCTAGTGCCAATCATTGATGCGTCTAACATCTAGTCTCTTAAAAGTCTAGTATGTTTCTCGCATCTCAAAGGTTTGATGAATGGGTGAGCCAAATTGTCCTCTATGGGAAGGCATTCTATTGCAACTTCTCATCTTGCTATTTGTTATCAAAACACGATAGCATACTGGTATTTTCTAGTTCCTTATTTTGCATCTTGGTTCCTTGGCTTGTGCAAATGCACCGGTACAGTCACAATAACAATTATTGGATAACTGTCGCTAGGAACTACCCCTATTTCTTTAAGGAACTAACGTATCTAAACGCTTACCTATGTTGCATCAAATGAAACAATTTACTAGGCTCTAGTTGTCGAATTTACAATAGTTTCTTACTTGCAACTCTTGCAGCATTACTATCACATTGAGACTAAAAACATATACTGACTATGAATTGTAGTCTTTCTTATCATACATGAAACTAGTGCTAGAATAGTTAAATTCTACTAGTTCTTTCTGTCTACCATAGACGAAAGATATTCATGAAGATTTTGGGTGACCATTCTTTCACTGACTTCAATGAGGGTATATCATTCTCTATGATCAACATATATGAATAAAAAGACCACGCTATCCTTGTTGCGCACTCTAAACACGCAAGCACCCTCTATTCATTTGATGAAGTCAAACGATTTGACTATTTCATCAAAATTAATATTTCAACTCCTAGTGGCTTGTTTTAGCCCATAAATAGATATCTCTAATTAACATAGTGATTTAGAATTTGACTTGGATAAAAAAAACTTCAGGTTGTACCATGTACACCTCCTCCTCAAGGTTTCTATTAAGGAAAGGGGTTTTGATATCCATTTGTGAAATCTTATAATCATATTATGCAGCTATAACAAGCAAAATCAAAATGGACTTAAGTTTTGCAACTGGTGAATAGGTATCACTATAGTCAATTCCTTTTCTTTGACTATAACCTTTAGCCACTAGCCTAGCTTTGTATGTTCTCACCTTGCCTTCAGCATTAATTTTCTCCTTAAAAATCATTTTGCATCCAATGGGTCTAACCCAACAGGCAAGTCAACCAAGTTCCATACTTGATTGATACACATCAATCCATTTTAGATTTTATGGCTTCTCGCCACCTCCATGAATCAACATCTAATATTGCTTCTCAGGTTCATCCGTATCAGGAATCTTAACATCATCATGATCCTCCATGAGGAAGCCTAACCTAGTTAGTTCATGATGAATCCTAGTCGACCCGCAGAGTTGAATGTTTTGCGTTTTGTTCATGCTGTTCATTCTGATCGTGAAGAGGTTCTCTTTCATTGGACTATCCAATGCTTAGAGAGTTTTCTGGTGCTACACTTTTAAGTGTTTCCAGAGAAAGAGAAGTGGGTGCAGAAGGAATGACAACCATGTCATCTTATCTTTAATAAGAATCACTTGCTGGTGCGAGGTGATTCCTACATTACTCCCACTAGCTTAAGGATATCCTCCTAGAGACATTCTTCAAGTCAATTCTCCCACTGAATCCTTCGTCAGACCATCTAACAAATCTTCATTCTCTATGTTACTTCAGCTTTCAATTTGATTAGTGCACATTTCTTTACATATGTAGGGCAACCCATATTTAATATGTGAAGAAAATGTCTTTTATTATACCACAACTCATATAGTACGTTTTGCACTAATCAAACTATTCAGAATGCATATTGAGATTTATAGTGTGTACCCTAAAAAGAATGTTTGGAAGAGAAAATGAATTCATCATAGATCTAGCCATGTCTAACAAGGCCCTATTTCTCCTTGCAGAACGTCACACTTCTGAGGTGTTCTGGAGGAGTTCATTATGATCGAATTCTTCGATCTTTTAAATAAATCAGAAACTTTACTTAAGTACTCTTTGGCTTGCTATCCTTTTTCCTAGAAAAGGTTTATTAGTCAATTTACTTGAAAGACAAGATTCACAAGTTCCATATGACTCAAAGTCAAAAGGTGTTAAATAATCTAATTTATTTAGCGTTGCTATTCTTGTTTCATTAATTTGACCAAGTTTGCAATGTCATAGATAGGTAGTAATTTTTCTGATTACTTAATCGAGATCCTTTTATTTTATTCATTTAATATCTAATATGTCGATTGATAATTAACCATTCATAAGAAAAGCATTTCCACAACAACACCATTTTATGAAAATAACAATTATTATTAGTAAAATGGAAATAGAAATCTTTTAATGTCTAACATATGAATGGAAATAATCTTCTTGGTAATAGAAGGAATAAAATAACAATTATTTAATTCTAATCTAAAACCACCGGGCAAATCTAAACTATAAGATCCTATCACGTTCAGCAGCAACTTTTGCTCCAGCCTTCACGCGTAGGTCAATTTTACCCAGTCCAACTGCTACACTGCTTCTCAGGCTTCTGCACATTTTTACAAATGTGTAAGCTATAAGTTGTATCTAATACTTTAACAATGAGAGTTAGTTAAAGACATATTTATTTAATGATAAAATTACCTGAGCTTGAAGCACCTAGTGATTTGGCTAGATTAGCCTTATACAGCTCACAATCTCTCTTCCAATGTCCCTTTTCTTTGCAGTAGAGACAAACATCCTTTGCAACCTTTGGCTTCATATGACCTCCACCTTTAGGCTTCAGAGCTGTAGAAGTAGGTCCAACCTTACCTTTCTTCTTTTGCTTATTCTTGTTCTTAGAACGAGACTTAGCAATAGAGCTTACCATAAGAACAGTCTTTCCTTTAGAGGTTGAGGCTTCATAAGACTTGAGCATGTTATGGAGTTCAGGCATGGTCGCTTTCGTTTTGTTCAAATTATAATTCACAATGAAGTTAGTAAATGAACTCGGAAGCGAATATAGGATGATAGCAGCTGAGACACGATCCTCAAACTTAATTCCGGTGGTAGCAACTCTTTCAATTAAGCCAATCATTTTGAGGACGTGCTCAGACACGTTGCCACCCTCTTGAAGCCTACACTTGAAAATGTCTGTCAGAAGTTCATACTCTAGAGTCTGACTCTCTGAATCAAACAGACTTTTCAAGTGTTCAAGCATCTCGAAGGCGCTCATCCTATCGTGTTGCCTTTGCAACTCCATAGACATTGCAGCCAACATAACACATTGCACAGTTTTAGCATCAGTAACGTGTTTCTCTCGAGCAGTCAGGTCAAACGTGGCAAACTCGGGAGAGTTAGCATCAGGAATCTTGGGTACCGGCGTGTCTAACACATACTCAATATTTTCTTGTCTAAGAACTAAACGCACATTTCTTTCCCAGTCCAGAAAGTTTGGTCCAGTAAGCTTGCATGTATCCAAGATACTTCTCAATGATAAATTCGACATTCCTAAAAGCCTAAAGAAGTTCAAATAGAACGGAATTAAAATCATATATTAATTCCTATGATCACATCTAGTTAACTAAATAATATGGACTTTTAATTACTTAGCTCCCACTATTTTGCATGCTCTTTGACCCCAATAAAAAGAACATGGAATGTTTTACAATCATAGTGGCCAAAATCCTCATTCATACTATTACAATCCCAGCTTGGGCTGATCACTGCAATAATATAATGGGTAGGTCCCAGACCAATTGCGTCCAAGCAACTTTTGGTTGATCAATTTTTAATTGATCGACATCCTTAAATTAATACTGACGCTTGGGCGACTCGAGCTAATTTAAGTAAGTCAAAACCATCACACGATCACAAACAATTGTACCTATAAATTAGTTCTATATTTTGTCGAATGGAATAAACACTTGGGTGAAATATTCTTCAATGAAAAAATATTTCTACTAATTTAATTATGATGGGTGATGTCGTTATCCCAGATAAGACTTAAATTTTAATTTATGGGGAACGTTTAACGGGATATTAAATTAACTTATTTAATCAAGATGCTACAACATACTATCAAATAATATGTTTACAAGATCTAACTTAGACAGATATAATTAAAGCATGCAATATAAATCTAATTTATAAACAGATACAATTAACAATTATTATGAGCATGCTAAAATATTAATAATATAACAATCGCTTGAATCAGAATTGTTAAAATTAAGTTACCTTTTTCATCTAATAAAAAAAACTTAATTTTAATCATTACTTGCATAACACTATACAACATAATTTATAATTCAATTTCAAAAAATGGTAAAACCCTTCTAGTCTCCATCGATTTTTAGGAAGTAGGAACCATTCTACTATTTGGAAAAAGTACAGAGTTCTAATCCTTGTCAAATTTTTCAAAAACAACCGAAAGGTGTAAAAACAAAACCAAAGTGGTTCTCACACGCATGACACATGTTCCACCTCTTAAATTTTCCTAAATTTTCAAAATTACCCCAGTAACATCAAACAATTTCGAAAATGACCCAAAGCTTAAATCTGAAATTGTCGATGGAAGAAAGAAAATCGCCAGCCGTTTGTGAACTTTGAAGTTCTTCCATTGCATGTATCACCGTCTCTTTGTCTATTGTTCAAATCCTTACCTCCTTTACTATAAAAGAAATATGAACTCACAAGCAGATTGCTTCTGAAGCCGCTGGTTCGAGAGGAAACGATGAGATCGTTCGGTGCGTTGTATCAACCTGGAGTGTGGATTCTGCCGGGTTTCGAAAACCGCCTCGTCGTTAAAATCTTCCGCCATCATCAGCGATTTTGAAAAATAAAAACAGAAGGGACGGAAGAAAATCGCCGGCTAAAGGAATACTACGTATAGAATACGCAACCACCATGGAGATCCAATCAGATTCCAAATTTTATAGTTTTAATTTCAAAAATACTTCAACGTCAGATTCGGTAATCAAATTATGGCAGAATATATTATCCGAAAGATATATACAACCCAGTAACCCACGAAGGTATTAAACTAAATTCGTATAATGTCATTAGAATCAGTTTGGCTCTGATACCACTGTTAGGAAATTGTTGTAACGTACCTCGAAAGTACGGCAGCGGAAGTTTAAAATTTTCCCAAACAGATCTTCCCTGATTATGACAGAACAACGAATATAACAATAATAACAGATCTGAGTTAGAACTTACAGATCTTCCAGCCTAGCGGTGATAATCCTTGACCTTTGGTATCCACGTGATTTCTCCTTTCCGAAAGAACGGTTAGATCTCCCTAAGAGAAAGGCTAGGAAATCTCTTCGCAGGGAAATAAACAGGTAATACTGAATCTGAAAAATGGTCTATAAATTATGAAGGAGGAGGGTGTATTTATACTAGTTCTAAACTAGTTTCCCAATCACAATGAAAGTGTTCTTCATTAATGAGTTCTAATCCTAACAGGACCAATACTCCTTATTAATGATTCAATTAATTAAACAAAACAAAAAATAACCAACAATAAGAGTAAAGTGGGCTTGCACGCCACTTTTACTCATGATCATTATTTATTTTTATTTTCTCTTTTCTTTTAATCCTAAATTATAAAGAAAAGCACCAACTTTATTTAATTAAAAATACATCTTAATTAAGTACAATAAATCCAATTTATTCCACTTCATTAATTCTATCAAATAGAACTCTCCTTCAACTTCATGAATTAAATATGTTTAATCTAATTAATATTTAATCCATTTTCAGTATTACTAATTAAATATTATTTAATCCAATTAATAATATTTAATTCCTTCTAACAATTCAATCGGAAGGTATAATCACTTGTTGTGTGACCCATAGGGCCTTATATATTAAGCACTAATCAAATTAAGGTCTTAGTAGAATCCCTAGACGATTTACCAGACAATCTTAATATATAAGGACGTTTGCGAGGACTATTCAAACTCCCTTTAATATAGAGCTCATAGTGATACGGTCCTTTCATTCAGCGAACATTCAACTAAGTCTAGAACATGATATTGTGTCTATCCCAATAACTCAGTCTCTGTCTCTCAATCTTTCTAGATGATCCATAACGATCATATTCGATATCCAAAACGAATATATCTTTGCATTGGCCAATGACTTTATGATCCATCTAGATATGAGAAGTAGAATGCTCTCTCTTAATCTATTATGAGGAATGAATCCTTTCTTGGCTCAACTACTACTCCATGTGCTTCGTGATGCACCCAACACATGCCGTATCTACCCCGATTGGAGTGCAAGCGTTGGTCATGGTCAAAGTACGTCACTCCGCACATGTAGTACGTATTGACCTCAAGTCGGAGGACTATTACACTACTCTATACGCCGATAATCCCATAGACACATGAATAGAACTTATCAAATGGTTTCTCGGTGGGTATGCCAATATTCTCTAAAATATCTATGTGACCATCATGAATTACATGAACTCATAGTTGTGAGATCAACTATACTTTCTAAAAGTATGATGCAATCAACATACCAATCTTATCGCATATCATCAATATCCCATTCTTGATGATCATTGATTGGGGCTATTTTAGGACTTTATGTTATATCATATAAGCTCCCACTTACTTATTGACAACATAAGTCCAAGGGAACACAATTATGATCAAGATATTGACAATCGAAATACTTAATCATGAATGTGTAATACCGTATATATCAAATATATAAAACTGAATGTGATCAAGTACATATATCTCTAAAAGGTGATTGTCGCTAGGACATATATACTAACAGCAACATCACCCTGGCATAGATATTGTTTCACTTTCATAGGAAAAATAAAATGAAACCTTGGAACTACTTTATTGTTATGAACAAAAAGAATACTTTCTTAATTTAAAAACTTGAAATGAGCTTATTACACCGTGCAATAGGGATGGAGTCAGGCCGGGACAACCAGCCCGGAACCGTCCTGGACCAGTACTGTTTGGGCCTGGCCCAGTACCCGGGTCCGGGCCTGGTTATATATACCCGAACCGGAAATTTTCAGGGGGGCTCTGGGTCAAGAAAAAGTGAACCAGCCCGTTCGGGCCAATTTTTTTTGGGTTTTTCAAAATCTCTGCGAGGTAAATGGGTTGGGCTGGGTTTTTTGGAGGGGTTTGGGGTGTGTGTTAGGGCGGGGGGGGGGGGGGGGGGGGGGTAGGAAGTAGTTAAGAAAAAAAAGGTACCCGGGCCGACCCGGCCCGACTTGCTAGCTACCTGGGCCGGTTCCGGGCCTCAACAAACAAAAAAAAAGCCCTGTCAGGCCTTCCAAAACAGATCAATGCCAAACTGTCAACACCTTAGACATTTGAACATAAAAGAAGATTAAAAAATGATAAAATATTCTGCTTAATATCCAATCTTTCCAAATCGTGGGTACTTAAAAGCAGTACTTTTGTCCCATAAAATCTATATAGTTTTGATAGTTCTTTTCTGGAAAATTGCAAAAGAAAGATATACAAATAACATCAGCGAAATCAAATAGTATTGTGGATCGATCATATCACAAATATATAGATTGGAAAAGGCAATTTGTATGTCGGAAGAACTTAAATTTGTCAAGAAGTAGTATTGTTATTCAAACCAGATTTTATCCCTGAATTTTAAAGGTTCTCACATTTCCATTGAGTAAAAAATGAACGATAAAAATAAGTACAAACTCAGATATTGAATATGTTAAAATAGATCAAACTGACCTGTTCCTTGCCTCACTCGTGTTCTATAAGCATTGAAGTTGTACTCAATGCCATGGATTTGTTAAAATCACAATGAAATATTCACCAAATCAATTTCCCCTTGCTTCATTCGTATTCTCCAAGCATTGACAATCTACTTAACTGGTGCTCTAAAATCATTAAGAAAAATCATGTAATTATTCTCACAGATGATGCATCTTCATTAAGGCTTCCACTTGCAAATCCCAGAAATCGATTAAGAAATAAATGTAAACCAAATCTTTTGCTGATTTAAGAAATAAATAGAGAACATGGCCGAAAAAATACCTGTGATTTGGAAGAATCTGGACGGCCGAAAAAATACCTGTGATTTGGAAGAATCTGGACGGCCGAAAAAGAACATGTGATTTGCTCCATTTGATGAAGCAATAAATAAAATGAGAATTGGCTTAGTGAAGCATTAGCGTATCCGGTCAAGCATGGCTCCACCCCCCGGTTCTCACCGTGAATAGAGTAAATCGAATCGAGCAAATCCCATATCCAAGCATGGCTTTACCCCCTGGTTCTCACCAAGAATAGAGAAAATCGAATTAAGGTTTGAACTCATTTCGAATTGAAGATTGATACGAAGCATTAATTCGAGTTGGTTAATTGATTAATTCATGGTGTTTAATTCATTAATTGATTTTAGAGGCGAGAAGGTAGAGGGGAAACTGAAATGGATGAGAGGCGAGAAAGGGTAGAAGGAGATGGGGAAAGGATGGAATGAGAATAAGCGAAATAAATATTGAATTAAGGACGTGGAAACGGAATGTTTATGGGCGGGAAAAAAATGCAGTCAGAGACCATGGAATTAAGTAGGCTCTGTTAGTTCAACAATTCCATGGGATCCTATTTTCTTATTCTCCTAGCTGAGCTGCTAGCATTCTGATAATGGAGTTGTTTTAGTAATATTGAATTTAGTCAGAGACCGTCCATCTGGACTAAGGGTTAAGTGAGTTGGGGGCATACCATTTAATGGAAGCGTATATGGTACAGCCGGCTGTACGGTGCCAGCCGTACAGCCGGTGGCAAACTTGTAATTTTGGTGAAAATCGCGGATTCTCTTTAAATGAGCATTGAATCAATTTTGATGAGCACCGAGCCTCTTGTTCTGAATATTAGGAACCGAACGGTGAACATAAGTGATGTCTGCTTCATTCCTCATAAATCACATTTTGTTTATTACTTTTTCGTTTGTTAAAAAGTTTTAGTCTAAAATGAACATAGATAACTTACAAATTAGTATCAAATAATTAAAAAGATCATTTGTGTGTGCTCATTCATTTTGGGCGTTATACTCATTTGACTTTAACATAAAACTCATTTCTAATGTGCTCAATATTTTTGTATATTCATTTTAAAATGAGTATTACACTGATATCAAATGAGTATACATAAATTTCAAAATGAGCATTCTTAAAACTCATTTGAAATGTTTACTATGCTCATAATTTCATTTATTATACTCACATCTGAAGAATTACGTAAGAAAAAGAGAAAAAGGAAGAATCCAAACAAGAAAGAGGGAGAAGAAGAAACTAGGGCTATTGCTGCCCAGAAGCCGCCTCTCAAGTCGGAGTTGAGAATCCTCATCTGTATCCGCCGTGAGAAACATCTGCGAACCGTGATGGAAGCCTGCGATGGAAGGCTAGGGACCTGCGATGGAAGGCCAGGAACTGTAATGGAAGCCTGCGATGGAAGGCTAGGGACCTGCGATGGAAGGCCAAGAACTGCGATGGAAGGCGAGGACCTGCGAGTTGCGAAATAAAAGGCCGGTTGTACCGTGCGCACGGTACAACCGGCTGTAAGATGGAATTCGCCACCATTTAAATGCATGTTTAAAAAGATAGTTTCAATGTTAAATGTAGGTTTCTCATTAAAAGAGCATAAGAGGGGTACAAAATAGTTGGACACACAAATATCATTTATGCTTTCCTTTTTAGCTCACACTACTGCATACTTCATAATTGTTTTTATTTTAAACTAAAATGGAACTTCAAGAACTGAATTGGCAGAGACCCAATAACTATATCACTTGAAATCTTAATATGGAACACACATTAAAATCTATATCACTGAAGATGAAATATCCGTTCCTAGAGGTACTAAGAACCTGGAGGTTGAAAAGGATCTCCAGGTTGATGGAGCTTGATATGAAACAGAATAAAGAAGCTAATTGATTAGGAATATAAATAGTTGGATTAAAAAAGCTAAATGATTGGATTAAGAAGCTAGATTGATTAGTAATTGATTAAATATTAAAATAAAGAAAATAGAATAAACACGTTGGATGAGGGTTTTAGGAGCATTTGAAGTTCATGTTTGAAAAAAGAATTATTTTTTCCTTATGTATTGATCAAAATCCCAACTTTAGATTGCAAAAATGTAAGGAGCTTAATACGGGAAATCTATTAGTAATAAGATAATTGAAGATATTTAAATAAACGAATAAAATCAAACCTGTTTTTTCAAACTAATTACTAATACCAATAAAAATCCAAAAATATCAGACCTATTTTTTCTCTCATTCAAATTGCTCCCGAATATCAAATATCAAACCTTCTTTTTCTCTCATTCAAATTGCTACAGAATGTCAAAGTATAAAAAAACATTCATAGATGGATTACTGGAGAAATGAAGACAAACAATTACGGTGAGAAGGCCAACATGTTAATCTTTTTGTCTAAACTGGAAAATGAAAATCAAAATTGAGATTCTTTTTAACTAAATTAGTACCTTGAGTATTCTGGTAAAGAATATTTAGTAAGATGTGATTAAGAGAATGAAAAAAGGAACCCTAAATTTATCCATCAAATTTACACTAAAGAAAAAACGATTGAAATTAAAAAATGAAGCAAAGTATATTCGGCAGAATCAGTACCTTTAGTATTCACATGTTTGTTTGTCCGCTTTTGTTCTTGTGAACTGTTTGGATCTCTAGTGATTCTAATACTATCAAAGCATGTGTGTGTTAGTATAAAGCATATATGCAATCATGCACTTCATAAACTATTAGCAAAACTTGATAAACTTAAATTGAACAAACTCTTGAAGAAGTAAGCATAAATTTTCAAAAAAATTTTAATGAAAGAGATGATTGTCCAGTTTGGGAAATTCAGAGAAGTTGATAGTGAATGAAGCTAACTTGAAATGGATGCCAAGTGAGAAAAGTCACACCTAATCCATGAGAGGGACTCGTCCATAGGGACCAGATTGTTCAAAATATTGAAAGTAGAGGTAACCCAATCTATCATTCAAATGCCAGAGACCATCATGTTCATACAAGCCCTCTTCAAAGGAGCATCTGTCCCATCTAGACAGCTTCTCACTCTCACTTTCATCACTCAATGAATCACTAAATGAATCTTGAGTCCGCAAGCCGAGCCACTCTCATCCCTTGTACAGTTAAGGGGGAAACTACATATTCACACGATGACCGGATTCATAACTCAAGCCATCCAAACTACTTGCACAAACAATTATGGGAGCCTGTACAATAGAATCACAGAGGGATTTGGGAGGTGGAAGAATTGATTAAATGAAAAGCTAAAAAAATCCTTATGGATAGGGAACCAATCATGCTGAGGAGAGTAATTGTAAAGTAAAGATTGTTGAATAGAGGAAACCTTACAAGAGTGCAATCGGGAAAGAGCGGAAAATCTTCTGAGTAACTCGATCAGCTATCCATAAGCCATTACTAAGGAGCGAGAAATGGTGAGCCGCTGAAACGGAGAACAGGAGCTCAAAGAGTAACAGGTCTCAAAGACTATTATAGAGTTAAAAGAGTTGTGAACGGAATGAACAAGTAAAATAAAAGGCCGTGAGAATATAACGATGATCTCACCTCCGTTAGCAAAGGACGCTGCAAGCATCTTAAGGATGTACAACAAAGTAAATATAAAGTCCAATTTGATTATGCATAAGAGACACCACCATTTGTTTTATGGCTGTTAAACCCCTAACAAAATCCCCTCTTATAATATTGTACAGATAGAGACATGCCCATCAAAATATATACAATAATTTTCTTTTTTATTCCAGGGGGTCTAGGGGAGCGGGGCTGGGGGCCCTGAAGTAATCAGGGCTGAAACTCACTCCATTGAGTTTCAAACCCTTTATGTGTCTAGCGGGTTTCGAACTCGAGAACACTCACTAGGCACGATAACCTCGGAACCAGATGAGCTTGAATGCTTATATATCCAATAATATTTATATGACCTTCTATAAGATTTATCGGTTTTCTTGATTTTTTTTTCTAAAATAATTTGTTACAGACTTATAGCAGTTTAGAATAACACTGAATGTGTTCTTAAAGTGAATATACGTTTATGATACTTTTTAGAGTATATAAATTTAAGTGATAGATTAGAAATAATAAAAGGGTATAGTGATTTAATATATAAAATGAATTTAGTATATTTGACACTTTTTCATTCATTTATTTAACTTTTATAGCCCATTTTTTATGAATACGTGATCTCCGCAAAGCACTGGCCCAAGTCCAGAAATGTTTGGTTTAAACGTAATCCGGCCTAACTGTCCAGACCATTTCTGTTCCTCGAGCTCCATTACCCTTTATTTAAAAACAGGGTTGCTATACGCTTAGAGTACCGTTTATATAAAAACCCTCAGAGGGCCGAAACTTCAGCAGCTAACGCACTCGGCCGGGCTATACAGATATTGGGCAAGAGGGAGGGTAACAGAGAAGGCAAGATGGCTGATGTAATTGAATTAGCCGCTCAGATCCCCCCGGACGAGAAATCTTCGTCTGGGATCATGCTGTTCAATCGGTGGACCTACGATGATGTCCAGGTCTGTCATTGGAAACCGTACTTTCTAAATTTTTCGTTTAAGCTTTTACGTTTTTCAGCTTGTGTATTTCGTTATGAGTTGTAGTTTATCTATTGAAACGAAACTAGGTTGGGTTTTACTTATTGAACTCCAATGTCCTTGTTAAGAAGTGTACATAGATGTTCGAAGAAAATCAGTAAAAAGAAGCTTCTTTTGATTTAACACATGGAACTTATCTTTTGTAGTTTAAAATAGCCCATTAGCAGAGCAAGGACGCCGATTCAATCAACATTTACTGCCTTTGAAAGATTTGATCTTCAAAATATTTTGTCAATTTCAGTTTATTATAATTGACCCTTTCTGTGGATACCGTTTCCAATTTGTTTATACAGGTAACCGATTTGTCAGTTGATGATTACATCACTGCTACTGCTGCCAAGCATCCTACATATACTCCCCACACTGCTGGAAGGTATCAAGCAAAGAGGTTTAGGAAGGCACAGTGCCCAATTGTGGAGAGGTTGGTTAACTCTCTAATGATGCATGGAAGGAACAATGGTAAGAAGCTGATGGCTGTCCGCATTGTCAAACATGCAATGGAGATAATCCATTTGCTGACAGACCAGAACCCCATCCTAGTCATCGTTGATGCTGTCATCAACAGGTTTTGCATATTCCATATACTTCGTGCAATTGATAAATGATTTGTTTCTTTTGTGGTTGTTTTAGCGTGATGGTAAACAAGACAAACAAACCTGTTTCAACATTCTGTCTTAGTAAGTCAGTATGGAACTGTTTTTTATTGTTACGAGTTGTGGTTCAAATGATTGCTACCATTGCTCTGTGAGCTTCTCATGCTATTCATGAATTCATCGAAGTGGGTTATTTTAGGACTATTTGGCCTGCATATGTTTTGGCAATAAAGCATTGTTTGAAATCCTTAGTTGTGGGCATCGAGGGTCAAATAAGAACATTAACATTTTAGGAAAACAAAGACAAATTTTAAGGGATGATGTAGAAGCAAATGTGGAGAACCAAAAGGCTGTCATGGAAGTGTGAAATTCCTGAATTTAATGCTAGCCAATTGTCCACACATTTTATTTTTACTGCTGTTGTGTTAGTAATCAGCATGATTGCCTTATTTTTTGGCAAAAGCCCGTCATTCAGACTTTTGAACAAATTGTTTTCCCTGGCTTGAATAAATCACAAATCTTTTGTCCATAATCATTTGCCTAACTTTAGTATTTCTATTTCAATAATAAATAACTTAACCCGTGTATCAAATTACCCTCTAATTATACTATCATTGTGTGTATAACAGTGGTCCACGTGAGGATGCTACACGTATCGGATCAGCTGGTGTTGTTAGACGCCAAGCTGTTGATATCTCACCTCTTCGCCGTGTCAACCAGGCAATATATTTGTTGACTTCTGGTGCACGTCAAAGTGCCTTCAGGAACATCAAAACCATTGCAGAGTGCCTTGCCGATGAACTCATCAATGCTGCCAAGGGTTCTTCTAACAGGTAAAAATTGCACTTTGTTTAAGTGCCCTTCCTAATGTTTGCACATATGCAGAGTATTACTTGCTTTTGCCCTTACATTTCTAATGTTTGTTAAAGTTCTTCAAATCTGTGCTTTTTTAAAGAAATACTCTTTAACAGAAGAACCATTTCTAAAATTCAGATACAGAATCGTTTTTCCTATGAAATTAATAAACATTTAAAACTTTGTACTATAGTATATAGGAGTGAATTACTCTTCTTTAAGAATATTCTTCCTTTTTTATTTGTAGCTATGCCATCAAGAAGAAGGATGAGATCGAGAGAGTTGCAAAGGCCAACCGTTAAGGATTTCCGTTCCGTAACTTTATGTTATGAAGTTTGTTGTATGAGTTGGATAAAGTTTGGACAATCTTTTAGATATTGGTTACGATCCAGTTTAGATATTTTTATCTACTGAACATTTATAAAGAAATCTTTTAGATATTGGTTGTGACTTGTGAAAGTTCGTTTTGGCTAGGGATGGATTCGGGCCGGGTCGGGCCCGGGCCTAGGCCCGGTCGGGCCGCCGGTTCAAGAATAGTGGGCCCGGGACCGGCCCGAGGGTTGGACGGGTCCGGTTCGTGCCGGGCCACCCCGCCCGGGTCACGGGTCCGGTTCGGGCTGGGCTGGTTAATTTTTTTATATAATTTATATTTTATAGTTTATAGTTTTATACAGGGATGGATTCGGGCCGGGTCAGG